ATAAATCTTGAATAAATACCATCTTTTAAAAATTTCAGTAAATACTAAATAAATACTCAATGGTTAAATATAAAATAATTAAATATCCAATGGCTTTCTAAAATTAAAATTCAATTATACTTTACTATTTTATAAAAATTGTTAAACTCTTCCATAAATCTCGAAGAAATATCTAATAAATCTTTTAAAGTCTCTAATAAATACTAAATAAATACCGAACAAATCTTTTAAAATTTTAAATAAATACTTAATAAGCTTTTAAAATCCAAACTCAATTATATTTGTTATCTTATTACATTATAAAAATTATTGAAAACCTACAATCAATCTCGAATAAATACTCATTGACCTTTTTAAAATCCTTCTAAAATATCAAATAAATACTCAATTAGTCTTTTAAAATCATCAATAAATAATTATAAATTTTAATTTTAATTATTAAGATCTTAATTCGATTCCACAAATTAATTCAAAAAAGAAAAAAAAGAACCCAATAACACTTCTTCATATACTTCAATTCAATTGATTTGCAACTTCAATTCCAAATTAGTTTGAAAATTATAACTATATAATAGTTCAAGTTCAAATTCAATTATTTCTTATTATAGTAACAAAATTATTAAAATTTTCAATAAATTTTGAATAAGTACCAAATGGTCTTTTAAAATCTCTTTAAAATCTAAAATTCAATAGTCCTCTTGAAAAAATTTCATGTAAAAAATTGAAACCCGATTAAATTAAATTAATATACTTTCAAATTTTTTGGTGAGCACGATACATATAATTGCTTAATATTACTTTAATTATATTGAATTTCTTACTAATTGTTTTCAACTCCCACTTCAATTACCCTACAATAATATGACATCTATATCTACATATTATTAAAGTTGAAAACAACTTACCCAAATATGCAATTGGATTTCTACTTCAATTATGTAATATAATTAACGAAAATGCATATTATAGTATATTCAAAGTGACACTTCATTGATTGATTCTTATTTACTCCATTGTTCTAGGACTAAAAGAATAATGATTAAATTGTAAATAATTCTAGATAAACGTATTACTTAATAATAACTATTAAAATATCAAGAATTATAAATTAAAAATTCTATTAATGTAGATTATGCATTTCAATTTTCATATTGACATAATACTTATAACCTTTTAATCAAATAAATTCTATTTACTAATATATATTTGATGGTGTTAAATTTTGTGTAATTAACGGAGTGGTTATACCTACTAGAACTATCTAAAAATTGACATGTATAATTTATATAAATAAAACTTTCAATCCTACTATTGATTTTTCAAAATATTCTTTTGTCCTTTTTGGACTGTGAGATGTGGTAGTGGGTTTCATATGTTGAGCGATATGGGATGCCATAGGTGAGCCTCACAG